AATTACATCTTCATATTTTGTGGCCTTAAGTTGAAATTCTTTAATAGAATCATCAACATTCTTATTTCCACTTGTCCATTCTTGTATTATTCTTTGAGGGTTACATGTCTGGCACCAGGCTTTAGATGTATTATACCGGTTACAATGTGCACATATTCCATTCCATCTACCTCTCTTAGAACCAAATTCATCAAATACTAACATATATTCATTGGTGGATGTGTTTTGAGTTAGTCCATATACTTTAATATTATTATCTTTTAATTGCACATAGCCTCTAAACTTATAAATATATAAAAAAATAATATGCAAGTAGATTTATATATATTATGGAAATAAAACTATATGCAGAAATAATAAGACAATATTTAAACTTACCTCTTTTAAAAAATCAAACGACCTATGAGAACCAGGGAAAGTTTTAAGTGCAATTATATGTGGTGACGTGCGTGACTGTGTCCATCCCTTCCATTTATATGAAATTATTCTATACCATCTAACCAAGTTGCTAAAAATCCTTCACCATTATTTTGAATGTTATTTAACCTATTAAAAGGGATCCATTCAATCACATTTTCATGTTGTGTAGCTTTAAGTTGAAATTCTTTAATACAATCATCGATATCTTTATTGTTACTTGTCCATCCTTGAACAATTCTTTGAGGATCGCATGTTTGACACCAAGCCAAATAAGTGTTGTATCGATTACAAGATGCACACTCTCCATTCTCCTCATCTCTTTTAGAAGCAAAATTATCAAATACTAGCATATATTTATCTGTGGCTATATCTTGAGTTAATCCATAGATTTTATTGCCTTCGAATTCTTCTAATTGCACATGGCTTTTAAACGTTTAAATATACAAAAATATAAACAGAATTTATGTATATAAATTATTCATTAACCAAGTTATACACAGTAAATTATAAAAACTTACTTCTCTCAAAAAATCCAATGAATCCTGAGAACTAGACAATGCTTTAAGTGCAATTATATATGGTGGGGCGTGACTGCGTGTATTTTTCATCTATACCTGAAATTGATCGTATGCCGTCTAACCAGGTTGCTGAAAAAAGTTCTTTAATTTTTTGAATATTGATTAATCTGTCAAAAGGAATCCATTCGATTACATTCTCATATTTTGTAGCTTTAAGTTGAAATTCCTTAATACAATCATCAACATTCTTATTTCCACTTGTCCATTCTTGTGTTATTCTTTGAGGATCACATGTCTGGCACCATGCTTTAGAAGTGTTGTATCGTTTACAATGTGCACATTTTCCATTCCTACTATCCCTTTTAGAACCAAATTCTTCAAATACTAACATATATTCACCGGTGTAGGTGTTTTGAGTTAGTCCATATACTTTATGATATTTGTCCTCTAATCGCACATATTTTTTAAACTTATTAAACAAAAATAAAATGTCAATTAAAACTATACAAACATATACCAATACTAACAGATTAAGGAAATTGGTATTTCCACACCCATTGTTAGTATTTCCATACCCTTGGGTCGCGTGTATTAAATTGTCTTGATCAAAATTTTCAGATCTTATTGATATTTGTCATCCAAGTACATATATACGTATATACGTATACACTTATAATAAAGGATAATAATTATCCTTTACGTAGTAGAAGGGTGTGAAATACCAAAAAAAGGTGTGGAAATACCTATTCTAAGTTAAATATTTATCATACTTCTCTTAAAACATCTATCGAATTCCGAGAATCAAGCAATGTTTTAAGCGCTACTTTACATGATGGTATACGTGACTGTATGAATCTATTTTCTTTCTCGGCATATGAAATTGACCTTACACCCTCTAACCAGATTGCTGAAAATTCATTTCCAACTTTTTGAATATTAATTAATCTATTAATAGGAATCCATTCGATTACATTCTCATATTTTGTAGCTTTAAGTTGAAATTCTTTAATGCAATCATCAACACTCTTATTTCCACTTGTCCATCCTTGTGCTATTCTTTGAGGATCGCACACTTGACACCAGGCTGGAGAAGTGTTATGTCGACTACAATGTAAACATCTTCCATATGATTTATTTTTAGAACTAAACTCGCTAACTTTAAATAAGTTTTTAGGAGTTAACATGATTTTAAAGTATTAATGACAAAATTGAGATAAAAAATTAATCCCGTTATCATATAATTTATACGGGTGACGCCAAAGGAAAATCAGACTTCTATTATATGATCGAAGTTTGGTTTTCCCTTGGCGTCACCCACGTGTAGCGGCAAGTACGTATCATTAACGTTAAATATGCCAACGTTACAAAAGGATGCAGAAAGTTAAATTTTTGTGTAAGTATTTACCAAACCTACAACGTAGCTTATTATTTGTGCATTACAAAAGTACATACGTACATCTTCGCAATCATACCTCGTTTTTTCAAATCAGAATAAATTGTTACTAAATTTTTTCTGCAGATCACGATGTCATGCGAGAGTCGGCGATTCTGTAGATTTTAAGAATCTTGGAATTTTCTTTTTCATACAGTGCGGGAATCCTTAAATCAACACAAAATAGATAATTTTTAAATTGTTATAAAAAAATAACTGGTATAGCTAGAACAATTTTCTTTTATAAAAATGTGGAAAAAGACAAAGAATAAAGTTATAAAATTTGTTTTTTAATTTATTAAGTTTTAATACTTTATAAAGTTTCAAAATTAATTATTTTTATTAATAAAATTAAAATTTGGCCATTATAATTCTGGCCAAAATTACCATAATTCTGGCCAAAGTTATTATAATTCTGACCAGAATTATAAAAAAATTTTAAAAAATTAATTTATGCTTTATTATCCAATCATATTGCTTAATTTGGTGTAAGGTTATACATGTTTTGGCTGCTATTATAAACTACATGTTGTTTTTAGGATTCCTGCACTGTAGTTACAAAAATTATAAGCTGCATCTTTTTGCAAAGCGCTAGAACATACATGCTCACTCTTGGATTTAAAATCATACATAGGATTTGCTAGCTTAAAAATATATAAAAAATTTTCGATTTGCGCGAATGGTGTATAGATCAAAGATTCTGTGGTTTTAAATGGTATTCAAATATTTAATTATTTTAACCTCTACCAGAATTATGATAATTCTTAAAATTGGAACCACAAGAAACAAAATAAAATGTACTACTGTAGTAATAAATAAATTAACCATTAAATGAAAAAATCTTCTTACTATCCTATTATAACCTAAGCAATTTGCTATTTTTCAACCCAGTTCGTTAATATTTAAGGTATTTTCAATTTTTAATTTCAAATTTTGTAATCTTGATTGCGGATTATCACCCGAGTTCCATGTTTCAACGCCTTGTTCATTAATTTTGAATCTAGGAACACCAATTTGCTCTATAGTAAACGATGCACTTATAGTACCATAAAGCGCGGCTTTAAATATATCAAAATTCGATTTAAGCAAACCAACCATAAGACCACCACAAAATGAATTTCCAGCACCGGTTACATCCATAACGGAAGGATTATCATTCCCATCTTTTAGTGGTTCCCAGTATGCGGGTATAATTTCCTTCCTTTCTTTAGTCGCTACTAAACAACCCTTACGAGACGCTCTGATGATGACACAACCCTTCCCATGTGAACCAATCTGGTGCTCTAAGAGTTTATCTGCCATATGTCTTAACATTTCATTATTCAGGAGATGTTCGTTCTTTTTATAATCTTCAGAAATTAAACCTAATACTGCGGCGATTTCCTCATGATTTGGTGATATGATATCTACCAATTTCATTGCTTCAATCCACGATTGCATATACTCTCTTGAAGCACATTCAGGTGTAGGCTCCCAAATAAAAATAGGAGGTGGTAATTGCTTATCGCGTAATCTTAAAATATCAGTAATATACTGTGAAACATCAATTGGATAACTTATGATATGAAAAATCTTAGAATTCAAATAAGAAATTGGCATATTAGCAGGTTTTGGTTCTATAAGGGGTGTTAGGTATTCAAACAGTCGTTTGTTTATAGATTTGAATGTATTTAACCCACGAACAGAAGGTAAATCAGAATGCTGTATTAGAGTAAGTGAAATATTTAAATCAAATAAACGCCGTTGGAGACTGATAGGAAAATCGTAACCAGTATGGAGAGCATATGCAATACATTGAGATTCAGTAGGTGAAAACCATAATCTCATACCTAATATTAGAGTATATATATAGTGAAACATTTTAGAGTTCCAGCCTGCCATTCGTTTAATCTGTTTTACATAAAATTTAACAGATATCTGGAATACCAGTTAAATTTAATATGTAAAACGAAATCTATTCAAAACAGATTAAAATTGATACCGTATATAGCGTGTATACCACTACCACCTAGGATATCTTTTTGCATCTCTCCATCTAGGTAAATGATAAAAAACGTAAATATGTTTTATATAATAAACAATTGAATATCAATATATGAATTTACTTGAAAACTTTATATCGTCAATAATACAAGATCCTAAAGAACATAACGATGGATCGCTCATTAATGGTGTTAACAAGTGGCGGTAAAGTTAATGAAATGAGTTAAAGTTGAATTTTTTATATGCAGTCTTGCATAATTTATGGGGATTGCAAGGCAGTAATTTATATGCCTCATGTGACTTTTACATTACAGATTTATTATTAATCAACTTAAAAACGACCTGACTTTAGACGATCCCTAATTGGGAAATATTTATTGTCTGAGCATTGCAGAGGCAGGAACTCGGAAAATTATAAATACATCGACTGGATTTTCTTTGTATTTTTGGATATCAAAATACTTATGCATTTTAATAATTTTTCACTTCTTAAATTCCTTATGCAATTACAACAAAACTCTCGCTCTCAAATTTTGAATTATTTTCAAAAATTATAGATCGGTAATTTTCATTTTAGGTAGTGTTCCCACAAAAATTGGTCACCCCTGTAAATTTTAACCAATCAAAATTTAAGATCGGGTGTAACGTGATAGTCAAAAAAAACGTGCTTTGTTTTCTAAGTAAAAAATTGCATGCCAAAAATTAAAGAAACCCGCGTTATAGTTGGATTAGGACTAGGATAATGTGACTTCTGTTAGTAAAATTTCACAATGAACACTTTTAATTAGACCACAAAATGTTTTTTGTAAAAAAAAATGTGTTCGTTTCGATTTTTACGTTACACCCGATCCTGAAATTCGATTGGTCACAATTACAAGGGTTGAACGATTTTTTTTGTGGGGACTAGAGGTGGGGACATTAGAACATGAAATAACATACGGCATAGCCGTATCTGAGTAGTTACTCAAATTTTATATGACGTAAGAAGGTAATTACCCTTGACCTAAGCAATGTCCCCACCTCTAGTGGGGACCCGAAATTACGGCGCCCTAGCTCTCCTGAGCAGAAGACATCAAATGTTTCGTAAAGTGATACGAATGTTCCATTTTAGACTCAGCTCATTATTTGATTTACGTTATTCATCAAAATCAATTCACGCTTGTTCACACTCGTGCCTATATTTGCACGTAACACGTTAATCGTTAAATGATAAGACTAGCCAAATTCCTGAAGTTAGAAGCTGAATCAGTAAGATCATAAATTTATTGTAACTTCAGGAGTCGGATTTCTTTTGACAACACTCATATTAACGTTCGGGATCTTGCATTCAATCATCTTAGAAACGACTTTGACACTACTGGTACTTAACACAAGGTTGTGCTATTTGTTATTTTAAAATTTTTAAAATGAAATTAATGAAAATATTCCTTTTGTGCGAAAGCATAAAAACATCACGTCAGCAACTAAAGATGGTTACAAAAAAAAAAACTACAGTTCGGAACCAGTGTTTAAAATTACCTTGCACAAGATGCACATGTGCAGGTAGTTTTTTTTTTGTGCAAAAGAAGGTCTAAATGTATATGCACAAGTGTGCAATTAAATTTAAATAAGGAGCTTGCGCAAAAAATAACGTGCAAGAGAAATTATAAAATTTTATTGCACAAAAATTTTTAGTCTAAATATAAAATATAAGATAGATAATGATAATCTGAAAGTTCTAAAAGGAAGCAAGATTGAGCTTAAATTTAGAGAAAATATCTGAAATATTCTACAAAAAATTTAAGATATATTTCGTATAGTAATTTTATAA